TTTTTTTTGATGGTCACCAAGCTTTTCTGGGGGGAAGGGGTGATGGTTTATCGTCACGCCTTTCATGAAAATCCTTCGGAACATTTTCAAAAGCTCTATGACAAAAGCTTTCGTATCATTCGTGTTCGTTGAAAGATTTGTTTTTATTTATTTATTAATTTTTTTTTTTTCAAGCGTTTTACGTTACGTTAGTTATATTCTTTCGAATAAGTATAATCATTTTTTTTTTTATACAGTCAAACACCATATATGCGAATCTTTACATAATTAATACGCGTATTTCCATAATCAATCTTATCGATCATTTTCGTTCGCTTTTCATTAACCTATTATTATTATTATTATTGTATTACTATTATTAATATTATTATTAATATTATTATTAATATAATTATTATTATTATTATTATTATTTTGTCCTAATGCGTTCATTTTCGCACGCATTTATTTATCGGTTACCGTCAGCGTTTAGCGAAAGCCAAGGTTTTTTTAAAATTATTATTATTATTATTATTATTTATAATGTTTTATTTTTTATTTATTATTTATTAACGATAAACCTTTGGCCATCGTTTCTTTTTTTTTTTTTTTACCTTTTACAGGACATGACGCTGATTTTATTTCATCTCATCTCATCTCATATCATATCATATCATCTCATCTCATCCATCCATCCATCCATCCATTCATCTAATGGGAACCGTCAAACGCGAAACGAAGAAAGAAATTAGAAAAAAAAAAGAAAAAAAAAACAAGGAAAAACAGGAAAACACACACATACGTACAACGATATCGTAAAAAATATTCTTTTGACGTCGACTACGACGAATCATCCAGTGGAACGTTCTTTCGTACATACAACCAAAAAAAAAACCCCCGTAGTAATATTTGCATTGACGTATTTATTTATATATTTTTTTTTCTTTCTTTTTGATTTGTTTTAGATTTTTTTCTTTTTTCTTTCAATTTTTTTATTTTTATCCAAAACAGTCGAACGAACGACGAAACGAACGTTCGAACGAATTGAAATTTAAAACAGATGTTACTCGTTGTACGCGTTTACAACACGTGTTAACATAACACAAATACATCAATTTTATATATGTATATACGTGTATGAAAATAGGACAAGTTATGATGGTAGTGGTGATGGGTAGAGACAAAAGGGGAAGGGTTAGCTTGAGACAAGAATAATAATTGAAAATCATGTCACAAAATATACGAGCAAACTTTTCGATATTGTCGAGCAGTGAATTTTGTGCATACTTGAAATTCTAGGATTGAGAAAAAACAAAATAAAAAAAAAAAAAAAATAAAAGAGAGAAAGAGAGATGTTGCATCGAAACTCGTCTATGCTAATAATAATCCAAATGTGCCAGAATCTTATCAATGAAATCCATATTGACACTTTTCATTTTTTTTTCTTATTTTTTTACAACCAATCTCCATTATTCGACGATCCGTCGAATCTTGACACGAGTTATTTTACCTCAACTTTTCAAATATTCCGAGGGTTGTCAAAAAAAAAAAAAAAAGAAAAAAAAACGGTAGGTATACCGGGTGTCAATGAAAACTGTAAACTACTTAGATTTCACGAATATTTACATTGAATGTTATTATTGATAAGAAATTATAAAAAATTATCTTTAATATCGTTAATTTATACGTGACAAATTGGTTTTAACAAAGCCAATAAAAGGATTGTCAAAAATGAATGTGAAAATTGGCAAGAAACAAAGTTTTAATGAGAAGGATAAATTAGAAGAAGGAAAAAGTTAAACTTACTTATATTAACACGTCAAAATATTAATCGTACTTTTAATAAGTTTAACAAATTTTTCTTTGTTTCGTCATGTGTGTAAGGTTTTTTGTTCGACAGTACGTTCCACTGGAAATTGATGAAAATAATTCGAAATAATTACCCCTAATATCTCTCTCTGACTTGGTTCTCTGATATAGCGTAACTTTGGTTGCATTAGTCTCGTTCATCGTATTCACGCCCGATCATTGTTCCTAAATCGAATACGTGCAAAACTTTTGGATCATTATTTATCGATACTAAGAAAGAGAAAAAAAACAAACAAAAAAAGTACTTACTATTTTTATTCGAGATGAGCGAGTCAATAAATTCCATGTGTTCTCTTGGGATATATAAGGGATACTGATTTTTCTAACAAAGATCATCTCCTTGATATTTGATTGTTTTATTAGTCAACAAGACTAAATTTTATCTCGTTCATTCCATTCGCATTTCTCTCTCTATCTCTCTCTCTCTCTCTCTCTCTCCGAAGGTTTTTCACGCTTCATTTTTCGAGATTCGTTAATGTAAATCGAATTTGATGTATTCGATTTTCCTTAGATCTTTCTAAAATAGTTAAGATCATTTAAAGGATGGATTATATCATAGATGAAACATACATATGCATATATATATATAAATCATCGTCTCGAATCCGTGGCGTTTTGTTATTTGTTATCCTCACGGAGAGAAGCTGTCTTTCATTTGAAAAGTATACGACGGAATGCCCGACGGAAGTCCTTGTTGAAAACGGTATAGATAAAAGGATTCAATGCTGAGTTCATGTAACCAAGCCAAAAGGCAATGACGAATGCTTGGGTTGGTATATTGAGATTAGGGAAGAGGGGTTTAACGATGTAAAGAAGGAAAAAAGGTAACCAGCAAGCAATAAAGCTGCCCATGATGAATCCTAAGATTAGGGTTGCTCGTTTCTCTTTTTTCCTGGCAATGCGTTTTTTTTCTCTTTCGGGATCACGTGGTTTGGACGATTTAGCATCTATCATGATTTCTTCTTTTCCTTGTTGCTTAGACGTATCAGCGTGTTCCCTCTTGACCTTACCGGTAGCTTTCCGACCAAAAATCGGCTGACAAAGTCGTAACTTTAATGGTTTCACAACGGCACACCTTGATACGACACCACTGTCAGATGAGGAAGGGTCGAATTCTGATACCATATCAGTGTCAATGCCAACGCTAGGTGCTCTGCATCTTGCAACAACTGCCTGACTAGATTGACCGTCCCCGTTCACCGACAAACTTGCTTTCAGGTTGGTCTTTTGAACTGGCACGGGTATCGTTACCTGATGACAAATCAATCAGGACACGTAGGAAACGTTACCTTTTAATACAATTGTTCATTCCTTGCTAACCAACGAAGCGTTTACATTCATAAACCTGGTTATTAATTAACATGATCGATTAAATTTACCTTTAAGGTGTCTTTTTCCTCCATTGGTATGCTGTTCCCACCAGCTGGGTCCGCCTCGGACGTGCTCACGTCACTGGCATAATCGCAGGTTACTATTGGTATTTGGACAGGTTGATTTTCTATAGTCGCGACATTTTCCATGAGTGTTCCAGAACTACCCCCGGCACCACCTGGCCCTGTTCTTCTAGAATCCAGTGCCGTAGTACTCTGTGTGAAACTCGTCTGTCTGATATCGGGGGATTCTGGTGGTACCGCTATTGGACGTGGTCGTGGTGGTTTTCTTATTCCACGACGTGCTCTAGCTTTCGCTGCGAAATAAATGCGAATGTATACGAACACCATGATGCAAGAGGGAATGTAGAAACTCCCGAGTGCCGAGTATAATACGTAACCAATATCCTCCGACAACTGAAAAAAAAAAATCAACAAATTACATTTTTATTGCAACATTTAATATTATATATTTTTATTAATATAAAGTATTATTTTATAAGATTAATCATTATAGATTAAATCAAAAAAGTTCCGGTGATATTATTGTATCGTAAATTGCGTTATGAATTGCATAAATTGAATTGTTTTTTGGTAAAATTTATTTTGAAAATATTAATTTCAAGAAAAATGTATCAACTTTTGATTCACTATAATAATATTCAATAAATAAAGATAATATTGGATCGTAAGCGAAGTTTCTCTGGTGGTAGTCAAAATATGCAACGTAGAATAACGTGAGGGGATGGGTGGATGTAGTTGTGGAAGATTTTTATGGTAGGAATTTCATTTCTCGGTACTGGACACACTATTTTAAATTTCTCTTTCGTTATGCTTCTTTTCATACTTCTATTCGAATTATAGAACAGGGTTGGGGAGGGGTAGGAGGGGGGAGGAGGTACAGCATCGCAGCATCATCGTAGTCGTGCGAAATTATAAACGTTCTTTCGTATCTCTCTTTCTCTCTCTCTCTCTCTCTCTCTTTTTCTATCTTTTTCATAGCAGTAGTCGAATAATATGAAAAAGGCAGTGGAAGGAAGAAAAGGTCAGGAGGTTAACGGGTTAAAAGAAAAAGAAATAATCTAACGGGACGCGCCAGATGTCTGACCGTTTTACTAGGTGGTACGCAAATATGTGGAATAACCAGCAATTTCTGTCGACGCGAATGAAAATTTATGAAAGCGTATCGAGTCAATATGCATATCCGTACGTTTATAAACGGCCATTTTGGGGTTCCTCTCAACGAAACATTTTTAACTCTTATTTGGTTTTCTTTTTTTTTTTTTTTGGATTTTTTTTCTTCGTTTACTTTACTTTTTAGCAGTAAAGCTCGATATCGTTTTATTCGTAATAAAATAATATAACAACAACAACAACAACAACAAAATTAAATAATTCCTCATAGGAAATTGAACGTTATGGTTATATTTTTTCTTTTTTAACAAATTTTTTAACAAACACTTTTAACCTATTTTACAAAATACTATTGTTCAAAGATTCATATTATTATTATTATTTAAATGAATAAAATTATTTTAAGTCGAAATATATTGAAGAATGTTTTTATTCATCATTGTCACGTTATAATTTCGAATTTAACTTTTATTATTATTTCAATCTTGTTAAAATTGTTCAACAAATTTTTTCATTGCAAAATTTTGTACCATATTTAAAAATACCATCATCATCTCTACTTTGTAGACAAATGATACGTCACGTGTTTAGAAAAAATTGTACAAAGAACAAAAATTGTTGAAAGAAAAATAAAATAACAATTGTTAATAAATTATGTGAACAACTCTGTTTTACATGGAAGATTTAAAAAAAATCATCATCATCATCATCATCAATATCATTTTTATAAATTCAGAACTTTTCCTGGTTATTTAGGAATTTTTGTTTGTTTATCTCTTGTTACTTTTTTCAACATGTTATCCTTATTTTTGTTGAAAACTTGGTTTTCTCGGTTATAAACTATAAAACTTGTAATGTAGTATGTTTCTATCTAATTTCAAACAGTTCCCTCTTTATATCATCAAGAAAATACGCGTGTATTTTCACCCGTCTGTCGTTGACATACACTCTCGCCATACTACTCGTTCTTATCGTCGTCATCTGGCAACGATGACACCTCCTCCTCCTCCTCCTCCTCCTTCTTCTTCTTCTCTTACCCACTTGCTCTAATTTTCCCTTCGTTCCCAATTATCTACTCTACCTTTCAACTTCTCTCTCTCTCTCTCTCTCTCTCTCTCTCTCTATCTATCTCTTACTCTCTCTATTTCTCTCTTTCTTATTCATCGTTTCATTTTATCAATCATATTCACATAATCATATTCATCGAAAAATTTCTTTTTTTTTTTTTTTTGAACGATTTATTACACGTTTACATTTTATCAATTGAATCAAATAAATCATTGAAAAATTTTCAATTATTTATATTACTCACGAGAGATTTCTTTTTTGTCATTAAAAAAAAAAAAAATATATATATATATATCAATCAAATGGGAAAATATTTTTCACGCAACGTTCAACACGATCGTAGATAAAATCTTGATAAAAAAAATTCTTCTCGCGAAAAGAAGGGGTATAAAAGGGAAATGAAAAACAAAAAAAAAATCCAGAAAAAGAGAGAGAGAGAGAAAAAAAAATACAGAAATTGATGGATCGTTGATCCGATAAAAAAATTACACGTATCCCGTTCCATTAAGTTGTTTCCAGCCGCGACAGATAACGTTCATTGACAGTTCGACGTCCGTTCGTTCATCGTACATTTTATAACCGTATAAACTTTCAAACACGTTTACTAAACCTCAAGCAACCAACAATAACCAATAGTTTCTGAATGACGCGTGTATTATACGCCATTAGGAAAATATGACTGCCATATGAGTAAAATAAAATGTAAAATAATAAACTAACTCTCTTTACTGTTAAATCAGACTAACAAAAATAAACGAAAAATTAAAAAAAAAGAATCAATTTAGGTAATGTCAATAAATTACTCAGCTCACGGTTGAAAATCAGGATATACAGGGATAATCATCCTACTTGTAATCTTTTATGGTATCGAAACGTGATTACTTATGTTATGGGAAGAAAAGAAACTGAGGCTTTTCGAAAATAAAATGTTCGGTGTAAAACGCGATGAGGAAATGGTTGAATGGAGAAAATCCCATAACGTAGAAGTACATCGACTGTACAACAAACCGGACATCATTAACGTCGTAAAATCACGCCGATTTAGATGGACAGATGGGTACCAATACTGGTCGGTATATTGAACGGGAAATGACCACTGGGTAGATCGAGATGTAGATGGGAAGACAATATTATTTCGAGATCTTAAAGAAATGGGTTACGAAGACCACGAATGGAAAGGGTCGAACTCAGGGATGAGAACACTGGCGGGATTTGATATTTGTGGCAATGAACTTTTGAGTTCCTAATGCCAATTAATAATAATAATCATTAATTGTTAGTTAATTGTCATTGTTAACGATTAAAAATGAAAATGAAGAAAAGATCGAATTAATAAGACAAAAGTTGAATGTTCGAAATTATAGGATGTGTTTGAATAATGAAATGTTAACCATCTATCATGGAATCGTATCAAGTACGAATTTTGTCGAATGCATTTATTAAAACTCAATGAATATCCTTCGATGAAAAAGTCAAGAAAATCCTATCAATTCTTAAAGCTATTGGATACGTGGCTTATTATCATTGGATGAAGAATGAATAATCCGATCCAAATTCGTGGTACTATAAGGCAACTTGCCAAATCCCTAGCATCTAAGAGGAAAATGTCATGGAAGAGTTCCACACCCCTCACCTTTCTAACTTACTCGAGTCACACAAGATTATCCAATGAAAAATAGTCAAAGAATTATTTTCTTTCTTTTTTGTTCTTGCTTGCTTTCTTTCTTTCTTTATTTTCTGCATCGATACGAACGTTTCATTTCCGTTTCTTTCTTTTTTTCTTCTTTTCTTTTTATTATCACGTTCTCTCTTTCTCTCTCTCTTTATTTCTATCTCTTTTGGTTTCCTTTTACAATTGCTCACCTTTGTGCTAACGGATGATTAGCTTGCTAAAGAACTTCCCCCTACTCTACTTGCGGCAAATATTATCATTTCACTTTCACAGAAATGAGAAAGGACAACTTTTTAATTGACATGGTCACGCGACTAAGTTGGCCATTTTAATGGGTGAATAAAAAAGAAGAAGAAGAAGAAGAAGAAGAGGATAAAAAAAGGTAAAGAGGGAAAGAGATTTTTCCTTCTCCTTTTTTTCCTCTTTTTTTTTCTTTTTTTTTTTTTTCTTCTTCTTTTATTTAGATGAAAATTATTTCATATCTTTTATCGAGTCTTTATTATTATTATTATTATTATTATTATTCGATAATTGTATTCTTCATCGACATGATAGCTAGTTTTATCCCTGCTACATCATCCAGGATTATAATAAATATCTGTCCTATAATTTTATCCCTTTTATCTCTTTTAACCGAGCTTCCTTCGTGTGACCCTTCTCACTTTTTTCCTTTTTTTTTTTGTTTTTGTTTTTTATATATCTCGTCACGATGGGGGTTTATATAACTTCGTCTATTGCTACGTGACACGTATTTGTTTTATTTGCTTATTATTATTATTTTTTTTTCATCTATCCAAACATCCAGAGCTCAATGACACAATGTGCAAGAACAGCTGATAGTTTTTTTACTTACTTCTTTATTTTATTTTATTTTTTTTTTTTTTTTATCATGAAAAATTTATCTTTAAAATTTTGTATTTTTTCTTTCCTCACGCAAACTCAGGAATGAAAATAAAATTGAAAGAACAAAAAAGGTAGCCGATGATGATAAGTGTTTTGTATAAATGTGGGAAGTGTGTGTTGGCATGAAACGTGAAGATGGAAAAATAAAAAGAAAAAAAAAAAAGAAAAAGCCAATATGTAGAGAAGCTTTTATATCGAGGAACACCCCTCAAGGCTACTTTTGTTTTATATATACCTATATATATATATATATAAATATATAATATTTTTTTTCTTTTTCACCTCACTAGGACTCTTCAGAATTTAATCGAGAATGAAAAGAACGAATGAGAAAAATGGAACGTCCTCGATGGAAGAGAATATAAATAAAAAGAAAAAAGAAAAAAACTAGCAAGAAACGGAAACGTTTCTTTTTGTATCGTCTAAATTACATGTCCAGCAAAAAAAAAAAAAAAAGGAAGGAAAAACGTGGGATTGTAGGCATAATCGATGCGACTGTCAGAAACAGATGAAAATTTTTTTTTTTTTTTGATATTGGTAAGCACTTCCCACACAGTATGTTTTAAAATCTTGTTCGTATTTATTTCACAAAGAAAATATTTCCCCATTAGTTACAATATTTTAAGAGCTACGAAAATAC